TGGCATGTCTGGGTGGCACTGTGAAAAATGGAGGCAGACGTTTGGGGAGAGACCATCCTGTTCCTTGTTATGGTCCATGAATATTTATGGAACAGCCCTTTATAGGGGTGCTTGGCGCCACCACAGTTTTATTGTTCGGCAGATTGAAAATGAATTCCAAGCTCACCCTTGGTCCCCTGAAAAGAATGTCTGGGCTTCTAGCAATGAGGTGGCCACATAATTCCTGTTGGAAGACATGGCCTTCTTGTTCCACAGCAGGAATGTCTATGTATACAATTTGAGAAGCAAACCAATTAGGAACTGAACAGTCCTTACAGCGGAATCTTGGGAAGATGGTTGTCAGCTGGTTTGCAGAAGTTTAGCAATTTCATCCTCATACCTGTAGTAAAGTAAGTATTTCAGGAAAATTCAGGATGACACTATCCTGGTGAATAAGAAAGGCCTTCCTTCCCTCCAAAAAAAAAAAAAAAAAAGGAAGGAAGAGAGTAGAAGAATGAGGAAAAGGAGAAGGAAGGAGAAGAAGAAAAAGAAGGAGAATCAAATATTTTTAACAAGTTGAAAATTGGTTTACAGGTCATAAATTGGAAAAGCCTTTAATTTAGTGCAATATCCAGCAGCCAAGAGAATTTGATTTAATCCCAGAAGGGCTCTTTCTCTAATGAATAACCACATTCACCCTAAAATATCACTGTTATATCATAGATATCATAGGGGTTTTAACTACGGGCCCATAGAGTGTCCATGGATGGACATTGGGGAGGTACATAACTGGGTATTTAAACTTGCTACAATTCTAGGCAAATTTCATGTGTGTGTCTTTGTGTATGTGTGTGTGCATGTGTGTAAATGTGTGTGTTTGCACTTTTCTCAAAGAGAAGATTTATTGCTTTCATCAGATTTCAAAGGGTTTGTCAGACTTACATATTAACAACCAATGTTAGAGTGTTGAAGTAGGAAAAGACTTCAGATGTATCTAGCCTGGTGCTTTTCAATGTGCTTTGCTGTGCTCAAATTTTTGTGTTCATGAGATTCACCTAAGATGCTTGTTGAATGATTCCTGAACCCCACCTCTATTTATACAGGCTAATTTAATTGATCATGGGGTTGGGGCCCAGAGTTCAGACTTATTTTGTTTTTCTATTCAAAATTAATTGGATGATTTTTATTTGTTTGTTTTTAATTTATTTTTAAATTGCAATATAGTTGATGCACAATGTTACATTGGTGTTGGTTGAAAAACATAGTGATTCTACAAGTTTATACACTAGGCTGTGCTCACCACAAGGGTAGCTAGCACCTGTCATCATACAACACTATTACAATACCATTGTAGAGTTCTGATTTTTTTTTTAAAAATGTAATAACAGTATAGTGAACATACAGTGTTATATTAGTTTCAGGTGTACAATGTAGTGATTCAACAATTCCGTATATTACTCAGTGCTCATAGAGATAATTGTGCTCTTAATCCTCTTCACCTATTTCACCCATCCTCCCCCCATCTCCCCTCTGTAAAGGTCTACTTTTAATAAGAACTTCAGGAATGGTGAGCTGAAAACACAGGCCAAAGATTATACTCTGAATGCCAAGTGAATTTAAGAGATACAGGGAAGTGTAATGGTCAAGTGTACAGAACTGGAAGAAATCACTTTTCCTTCAAACCAGAATATCTGTGTCTTTTTCAGCTTTGTATATTGAACTTCCACGTAAGATGTCATTTGAACAAAGGCTGAAAAACAGCATGAAAGTTACCGACATAATGCAACACCCACATATTACAGAAGAGGAAACTGAGACCTGGAAAGGTAAAGTGGTAATGCCAAGGTGACAATTGCTATTAGTGATAGGATTGAAACGAAAACCTAAACTCCCCTTATTTCCTTGTCCAGACGTTTCCATCATGGCTGATTCTCCTTAAAGCCACAAATTGGAATTAAAACACCAAACAGTTTTTAGCATACGATCTAGAAAGGAATACAGTGAGTATTTAAGCTTTCTTATTTAGCCAGATAAGGAAGTCTTCCTACCTGGAAATGTTTAAATTAGGAGAGAATTGGGTGATCAGGAGGCCTGAGTGAAGGCCTTGGGAGACCAATAGTAGTTATAAAGGCACATGGAGCACATGTGATTGAAAATATCTTCATATTGTCTACTGCTAGACTTGCCACCCAAAATACATTGCCTCCATAATGGTTCCAAGTAAGTAATTTAGTGTTAGGCCACCCATGAGTTCTTTTATTCATCTCTATATATGAGTCTTTTCTTTGGTTTGACTAGTATCTGGTAATTAATGGCTTCAATGTGATTCTTTAAACTTGATGTTAGGATTTCCAACATGGTATAAAATTTCAATTCAGCTTAATATTGGGGAGGAATAACACTTAACATTCTTCACGGAGTTTAGAATTGTGTTCATTTAGGAAGATGAACTTCAAAAGTTTTCAAAGCTCAGTCAAGGTAAATTTGGGTGGTAATATCAATAAGCCAGGCTAACAGGAGTTGTAAAACCAGTCTGAAAATGTTTTCCAACTTCGCTCATGATTTCTGATTCTGCTGCCTTCTGACTTATAAAAACAGTTTATTTTCTTTGTTCTCAGTTTCCGTTTTGGGTTCTGGCCAGTATTGAGAACTAGGAATTTCAAGGCTGGTTTACAAAACCATCAAAAAAACTTTTTTTTTTTTTTTTTTCAAATGTCAGACGCTGTTAACATGGAGCATGCAGTGAAGTGCTATTTATCCAGGATGCAAATAATCAACTCCATAAAATAAAACCAGAATTATATTTTGTTCAGTTTTGTGCAATGACTATTGACATTCAGAATCCTGACCTGAGGCCCTACATATTCTTGATATGCTTAACTCATCAAAGGAAGATTCCACTGTTATCAGTCACTTTTCAATGCCAAGTACATCTTACCATATTTTATTGTATCATGGAGGTCTCAGCATGGAGGTATTAACATAGACATATCCAGACAATTCTGACATGTCAGAGCCTGTCCCAAGGTCTGGGGGCATGAAGCCACTGGTGCTCTAGTTGAGTAAAGAAAAGCCCAAATTGTATCAGATGTAAAAGAATTTCACCCTGATGAGAAAGAGTTGTGTGTACAGGTTTGTGAGGTGGATGAGATTATTAAGGAAGACTGTTAGCTTTATCTTGGAACAGCCATATGAAGTTAGTCCTTTCTGGAACAGTGTCAGAGTTTTAGGAAGATAGGGCAATGTGCTGGATATTTGATGTTTGTGGCCCCTACAGATTTACTCTCTATCCTTTCCACCCTTCTATGAAGCCCAGAGATGATCTTGGGCTGTCTTATCCTCTGGATCTGGTTGGGTTTGGTTGTACCATTAGCAGGAGACAGAGTAGAATGAGGTCTTTATTTTGGTATTATCACTCTAGTTTCCTTAACATCCTCAGGCTGGGTGTTTCTCTCAAGTGAAGGTCATAGCTCTGTCAGTTGTCCTCTACTCTCTTCTCTCTGTCTCTCCAGGTTCCCTCCATGACTGTCTCATTTTGTCCCTTCAGGCCTGGGAATAGTGATGGTGATCCTCTGTCAGTTGCTTTGGGGTAGTGAATTATCCCATGTGATTTCTCTATATGCTCTCTGCTCTCCACAACCTGGGCAAGTATCCTTTAATTAAAATTGCTTTTATTTTCCCAGTTTAAGTATTTCATCTGTTTTCCAATGGTACCCTTATGGACAGGTGTGTAATAATGAGTCAGTAAAATGAATGTTGTATCATTAATAATTTGATCAGACAATGAAAGCATGCAAGGCAAGGAAGTTCTGGGTCTTAATATGGGCAGGAGGAAGCATTTTTCTTGAGATGTGTAGGCTTTGGAATTGACATTAGTACATAATTTCTCTGAATCCAGCCATCCCAGTTACCTCTTGTAAGTGTTTAGGATACTGTCACTGTCTATCTAGCTCTGGTCTCTTTAGATAAACTGGTTTGCTCAAATAAAGTCATTCTAGAGATAAATGTAGGTTCCTCAGACAAAAGTACTGTTTTCATAATTTAGGACATCTTCCACTTGCCTGCTTCACTCAGGTCCTGATTTTTCAAGTTCTTCAGCTTCTTCAATTTTTTCTCATTTGTCATTTCAGTGCAGTTTTTATTCCTAGTTTATCTTTTGATTAAAGATTGTTTGGAATGATGATCTTGGCACCTTTCCAGACACAATAACAGCTATTAATAGTTTATGTTTGTTGAATTATTGCTATGGCCAAGTATTTTTATAAGACCCCCCCCCTTTTTTTTGAGGGAGAGAGAGGGCACAAGTGAGCATGGGAGGGGGGAGAGAGAGAGAGAGAGAGAGAATGGGGGGTCACTTGAAGCTGGGTTCATGCTCACCTGAAACAAGGTTCATGCTCACCTGAAACAGGGTTCATGCTCACCCAATGTAGGACTTGAACTAATCCAAGCTGGGACTTGAACTCACAAGCAGTGAGATCATGAGTCAAAGTCAGATGTTTAACTGACTGAGCCATCCAGGCACCCTTGATAAATGCTCTATATGCTTGATCACATTTAATTCACACTACAATATTATAATGTGTGTATTATTGTTATCCCCATTTTAGAGATGAGAAAGTTAATGCTTGAATGGTCACATTACTAATAAGTGGCAGAGCTAGAAATTAAACTCAGGTCAGTCCATGCTGGAAAACACCATGTGTTATTTACCATTTGGCTCTCCACAGTGTTATTACAGGAGAAAAAAAAAAAAGCACAGTCCCTATGTCTTTGAGTGGCTGAGTTTTTCCCTAAGAAGACACATTGGAAGTCTCCTCTACAACCCCAGTGTACTGAAAGTAATCAGAAATGTGGAAAAGTAGACAAAGGTGGTAGTTTGGGGGTTACACCAGGATTTCCCTTGCTTTGAGCCAGTGAGAGGAATGGTTTGTGATGAATTCTTACATTTTTAGCAGATAAATATTCAGCTATTAACTTACTCATTCATTTCTTTAACACACTTAAAAACTTTTATTTTTTTTTAAAAAACTTTTAATATACAAGAGATAAAGAGATGAAAATGATATATTTATTTATTTCACTTGGGTATAGGTAAGTGGAACCTGATTACTAAGATTTAAAGATCTCTTTTCACTTCAGACATTACAACTCCATGCAAACTCTTTGAAAGTGGGTATTCATGTGAAGTATAAGGGCAATGCTGTTACTTAGAGTGAAGTCTGGAATCAGTGTATGTATATTAGTAGTGTATTAGGGCTCTCCAGAAAAACACAACATATACCTATATCTATTCTATATCTGTATATCTCATCTATATATCCATATCCATATCTGTATCCGTAGCCATATCCATATCCATATCCATATCTATATCCATATCCATATCCATATCCATATCTATATCTAGAGGGAGATTTACCTTAAGTAATTGGCTCACATGATTATGGAGGCTGGTCAGTCCAAAATATGCAGGCTGGTCTGGCAGGCTGGAGACCCAAAGAAAAGCCAAAGAGTTCAAGTCCAAAGGGTGTCTGCTGCAGAATTCCCTCTTTGTTGGGAGTAGTCAGTCTTTGGTTTTATTTAGGTCTTCACCTGACTGGATGAATCCCACCCACATTATGGGCAACATTCTGCCCACCATAAAGTCTACCAGTTTAAATGTTAATTTCATCCAAAAACACTGTCATGGAACTATCCAGAATCATGTTTGATCACATATCTAGGTAGTGTGGCCAAGCCAAGTTAACACACAACATCAACTGTCATAGGTAGGCAGAAGGTGCCTCAGGAACCGATACAATTAGTAAAAGCTGGGCTCTGAAGACTGCATAACCCCTTTTCTCCTCACCATAGTAAGAAGAGCAGAACCAGCTAGTACTCTAATTAAACAGGGTAAGCATGAGATAATGAATTCAGGAAGAAAGCTCTAGGCTACTGCATTGAATTCTAATTTTTGCTTGCTTGCATCCCAGCCTCACCCTCCATCATTAGAATATTCTTCTGTTTTGCTAAGTCAGCCAGTCATTCTCTCTTGTTGACCAATACCTGGATCTGTGTCTTGCAAAGAATAATGTCTTATAAAGATTTACTAGGCCATATCCAAATCAAGGGTCATATATATCATTTATTCATTCATCCATTTATTCATTCCTTTATCTATTTAACAAATATTTATTAAGAAAGTATTAAATGCCAAAAATTCTTCTAGGTTTTGGGGACCAAACAAACACTGAACAAAGTGGATGTAGTTCTGGTCTTTATGGAGCATACTGCCTGTGAGGTAAGATGGATAATAAACCAATAGTTTTATATTGCTCAAATAATTACCTTATTATAGATGTAATAAATAGCATGAAGAAAAAGTACGGGGCTCAATGACAGGATGTTACAGGATAACACAAGAATGAGTAAAAGTAACAGACACTTAGAGATGACAATAAAACTTATTTCTTTGTATCTCAGTCTAACCCATACAATCCCATTTATAAATGCTCCATAATCTGTTTGCTTATGGCTGGAAACACATGAGCATGGTGATTCTTGAAGCTATGTGTTGAGAACAGCAGAACCACACATTGAAAGCAGCTTGGATTTCTGAAACCCTGCATTGAAGGCCACCCACCAAATGCCAGAATTGGACTGTTATGTGTAAGAAGTGAATTTATATTGGGTTTAGCCACAGTAATGTTGGTATTTGTTTATTCTGAAGCTATAATTACTATACCTAATATGGAAAGAAATTCTGAAATTGAAATGCAATACTATCTATGACAAATATTTAAAATAGGTGACATTGACTTCTCAGTAATGTGTTAGGAAGCTAGAAAAGTTTAAGATTGGAAAAATGGAGGCCTATGCTATAAATTTGAACAAATGTTTGGTAAAGGTATTGCTTGTGATAACCTGAAGGCAGAAGATGGACCTAATGAGCCTGTAGTTTCAGTTCTCAACTTGGGGTGATTTTGTACCCCAGGTGACATTTGGCAATGCCTAGAGACATTTGTGTTTGTCACAACTGGGGATGAGGATGGTGTTACAGACATGTAATGGGTAGAGGCCAGGGGATGCTGCTAAATTTCTAGTAATGTATAGGATAAATCAGTGAAATACAATAATTATCTTTTGTAAAATGTCAATGATGTTGAAGTTGAGAAACTCTGTTCTAGGGTATGTAGTTAGAAAGATTCAGAATGATCATGTGAATTGGCTCTCACTTCCATTTTTCACTCAAATTACTAGAAAAATAAATATAAATCCAGAAATAACTGGATAGTTTTCATACAATAAAGGAATATGGAAAATCTCAAATTTTAGGTCCTCAAAAAAATCCTACTTCAAGACCCTAAACCATAACAAATGAGATCTAAAGAGGTTTTGAATGACAGTGGCTAATTTACACATAACCTTGGAGTAAAGATCAGATTAAAGGTATGTGACCTTCCTACCCAAGTCTTTGATTTCAACTGGTCTCGAGGTATCTGCTATTAATTTGAAACAGATTGTTCTGGGAACCTGGAAGCAAAAGCCTAAATCAGCCTTGAGAATTTTGTCTAAGAAAGAACTTTGGACATGGTTACTGGAACATGGAACTGATTGGAAACTAGATTACAAAAGAAATTTTCTTTGGTAAAGCAGTTAGTATTATTGTAATGAGTAGTTACTTATAAGGGGCTCAAGAAAGTGTCTTTGTGGAAATAGCATTTAAGTGGGTCCTTAAAAGATAAAAGGGAACAATCAACAAGTCAAAATTATAGAACACTGTATACTCCCTGATGCCAGGAACTGAATGAGAGCCAGAGAAACTCAGATACAGTAAATTAAAGGGGAATAATGATAGATGAGGCTGTTAGGTAGGATAAGAACATAAAGGGCTTAAAGGCTATGGTGGGGATTTTTGGTAGCTTGTGAATTTCTAGGAATTTGTCAATTTCATCTAGGTTATCTAATTTTCTTGGCATACAGTTGCTCATAGAATTTCCTTCTAATTCATTTAATTTTTTTTTTTACTTTAGTAGTTTGAATGTGTCATCCCATTGCCTTCTGGCCTTCATATCTTCAATGAGTGTCAGCTGTTAATCTCATTGAGACTCCCTAACGCATGAGTCAGTTTTGCTACTTTCAAGGTTCTCTCTGTCTTTGACACAGATACACTCAGAGGAAAAACAAAAACAAAAACAAAAACAAAAAAATTGTGAAGACACAGGGAGAAGATGACCATCTGCAAGCCAAGCAAAAAGGTTAAGAAGAAACAAATTCTGCTGACACCTTAATCTTGGACTTCTGTCCTTCAGAACTGTGAATAAATAAATTTCTGTTTAAGTCACCCAGTCTATATTATTTGTTACAACAGTTAAAACAAACTAATATAATTCCTGACACAGGCTTCATGCAATTTTATTCTCCTTTCTCGGTAATGATTTTCTCCTCTGTTAGATGCTCTAACTATAAGTGATGAAAACTAAATGTGTGTAATTGTTAGAGAATATCAAAGAAAATAAAAACCCTCATTCTTGCTTAATTGATCTGCCCATTTTTAGGAAGTATCTTCTTTTATACCTAGGTTAAGCAGATTCAGACTTTCTCTATAAAATACAATTCTTTTCTCCTCTCCGTTAAAAAATATGTATGTGATTTTCTGATGATAATCATTTTGTTGAATTATTTTTAACCCTGTTTTGCAAATAATCATTCACCAGAATATTGCTGATGGTCATGAGAGTAGGAGAGAACTTATTTTACTACACTGGTTGGGAAAAAAATTTGGTTAGTTAGTTTACACAGTTTGTTGTATTGATTTGAACCATTTATGTTTTGGTTTATGTTTTTTTTTTTTCTGATAAGACACATTGGGAGAAGAAAGTCGGATGAGATTTTAAGTCCCACCTAGCTCTGTTACTAAATAACCATGTTATCTTGAGTTAACTAACTGGATTTTCTGAGTCTACTAACTACTTTGTAATATGGCATTGATTTCATGGTTGCCTTACCTGGTCATTTATTCATAATTCAATAAAGAAACAAGCAGGCACTGAGGAATGCCTGTATGCCAGGCACTGTATTAGATATTGGTGACTCAATGGAGAGTAAAGCTAGCCACAATCTGTTTTTGAGGAGCTTACATTTTAGCGGGAAAATAAATATTTATCAAAGAAATACAAAAATAAATATAAAATCTCAATGTTTCTAACTTATGTGAGGAGAGAGGCTTTGAAAGCTTATCATGGAACTGGAGGGGTATAGGAGAAGGGTATTTTATCTAATCAAAGTGTTTGAAGGTCTCCTCAAGGAAGTGATAATTGGGCTGACATCTGAAAAAGGGAGTAGGTGCCAGCTAGGTCATTGGGAGGATAAAAATAGGCAATGGATATGGATGCAGTACTATCTTCTTACTATCATTACTGTTTTTTAATAAATGGAGACCCATTCAGCTTTTTTTCATCTAGTCAGTGAACTTACAATGTGTCTTATGATACCTCCTGTCTTCAATAAATCTTTCCAAACTTAAGGTTGACATACCCACATAATTTCATATTCTCAAAGTAATTGCCACATTCATGAGAAAAACTATCAAAAAAAACCCCAATTCATTGTAAAGCATGGCCCCTTTACATTTTTCTTAATCTTGTTGCTATTTCCTATTCTTTATCTATGTTAAATAGTAACTTTTATATCCACTGTGTTTATCATATTAAACTTGAATTATGGAATTCTTTCTGTATCTTATCTCATGCATTGGAAATGGAGTTAATTCTCTTCAGCTTAGTCCTACCCCAGTTTCAAGCCTTTGTAATAATGTACGTTGTTTTTGAAGACTTCTGACCAGTAAACTGCATACTTCAAAAATGGACCATCTAAGTCCAACAGACACCATTTAACAACAAACTGTCTGATTCTCTAATACTAGGCAATTATATAAGGACTATCCAAAGATAATAAAATACCTTTTTCCCCCAAGGGAGGACTTAAGTGGATATTCACCTACTTCTGCGCCTTTCATATAGCGTTGTTGCTTTCCCATCTGAACTGAGACCAAGTCAGCAAGATGGGTTAAGCTCTTCTAACTGAGAACAAACTGAACCCAGATGTGAATTAAGGAAAGAGGGCCAATTTTGCTTTCAGTCTTGGCAGTAGCAAAGGGCCAATTTTTTCAAAGCTTTACAGTACCTGGCAACTTTGGGTCAATGCTATAAAGGTCAAGCTTATGAATGTTCCTTTAGCAATTCTGTGATAATTACTTTGCCATCAATTTTCCAAATGGACACAAAAACTGAAATTATTTCATTTTTTCTTTGTTTTGTGAAATATTTCTGGTATATGTTTTATATATATTAAATAGCTATATTTTTTAGATCATTCTAAACTGGCTTCACTGAGAACTCTTCAAAATTGAGAAGAAATTGAGACTTTTCTTTGGTGAACAATTCTGAAGCAGAGATAATTTAATGGGTCTTTTTACCAGTCTAATTTTGAAAGGTGTGCATAAAAATGCCCCTGTAGAAAAACCAAAATGGATGAAGCCAATGTTTGACATGGCTGGAATTTCAAACATAGCTGGAGTGAGGTGGAATCCTAACCTCAGATCTAGTGTCTTAAATTGAGCAATTACTAGGGTCTAACTGGTGGATTCATAGTGCTGGAATGTTTGGAAAAAATGGAGACATAGGTGAAAGTCTACTTGCATTGAGGAGAGAGAGAGAGACTTATGATCAATAAACAGCACTTAGTTGAAACCACTAATGAGCTACACAACATGTCTCAGAAATCACAAGTTTATTTTGCTTTTGTGAGAAGTTGGAATAACTTGTGGCTGAGGCTGTCAACACACTAGACCGCAGTCTTGTGGTGGCCTCTATTTTTTCTAGTGCCTGAGAAGTGTAAAGTTCCAAGACAAGGGCAGGAGCCCTTTCATGTGAATCATGCAGTCATCAGCTCCACGATGGAAAACAACTTGAGACATACCATCCTAAAGCACCAAGGATGTAATGTTATGAAAGCCAAGTTCTTGATATTCTTCCACACTTTGAACACTCCCACATTTTACAGAAAAATATACCTTCTTGCAAAGCTGGTACTCTGAAAATATGGAACACAGACTTTCACCCTGAGCCCTTATTCTTTTTTCCCCCTGCTTTGTGAATTAACGAACACACTTGAGAAAATTTTGTCGTGGGGGCAGGGGAGTGTGTGTGTGTGTGGGGGGGGCGTGAGGGGGTAAGAGGATAGAAAATAAAATGGAATTAAAAATGTACTTTTATTCTTCTGTTTGGCATTTAGTGAAGGCTTAAGTAGTCCTGGGGGTATTTCATTTCTCTGACTCTAAGATTTCTCTTCAAATCGCCATAATTCTTAGCTCTATACTTGGAACAATATGAGTGCCCTCTGGTGGACAAAATATCATTTTAAAGTTTTGTGTATATGGACTGAACATGGGTAAGTATGGAGAAAATAAGTCTTAGGTTTCAATTGTCCTCATTGAACTTCTGAAATCCCTGGAAAATTAGTTCCTGATGTTCTGGGGTGGTGACAGCTATGAAAACAGTTCCATAAAATAAGGGGATAAAAGGCAAGCTGGAGTGGCACTCCAGGTCCTATTTGCCACTGAAATAGTGTCTTGGAACAAAACATAATTGGGAACTTGAACAGGGAACTCAAATGTCTAAGGGAAGGCTAATAATCCTAGTTCTTGGTCATCAATGCCAAGATCAGAAATGCTCTCATTAAGAATGTGACACTAATGAAACAACTTGGGCACAGGCAAAACCTCTTAAAGCCCTCTAACTGTTGGCATATAGTAGTTAAAATTCTTTAAGAAAGAAGGGAAGATGTTGCAAGAAAGGAAGTAAGGAGGAAAGGAAGGAAGTAGGGAGAAAGAAAGGGAGGGCTAGAGAGAGAGGAAGGAAGGATGGAAGGAGGATGGAAAGAAAGAAAGAAAGAAAGAAAGAAAGAAAGAAAGAAAGAAAGAAAGAAA